GGATGGCGCGGGAGCCGCGGAACATGCGAAAACCGTGGATGGCATGGGAGCAGCGGAACATGCTGAAGTCGTGGATGGCGTGGAAGTGGACGCAGTGAATGCCAATGCCTCCAAGTAGAAGACTGGCGAAGGCCGCGAGGCCCAATAAAGTAAGTCATAATTTAAAAATAAAATTATTCTTTTATAGATATGTTCCATTTAACATTAGCAATGCTTGCGTGCTTAATTTCATCCCTGTTTGATAAGCAACAAAGATGATACTCGCAAGCGTTGCAAACATAAGTGAAATATATATGTATAGTATTTATTAATTAAACAATGTGCAAAAGTAAAAGAGTACAACTTATTTGTGACCTTTCAGGGATCGTTTTATTTCTATATTTTTTAATGTATTTTTCTTTAAGGAAAAATTAGCACATTGAAATAAAATTAATAAAATCTTTGTAGCCATTCATATTGTTTTGAAATCGCTGTCAATTATGCTTGAATAACTTAAAACTTGCTTTATCTGTTGAACGCCAATTAATCATTTCTTATTTGATATTTTATTTCAGAGTTTCGTACAAATTATATTAAACACATGGAGGTTATGCGGATAAAAGAAGAGGACTTTTTTACATAATTATTTTAATGATCTAAAATAAGTAAAATTATATATATATTTTTAATTTTCTATATCCTTAAGATTATAAATTTATTCTTTAATAAAATTCTTTATAAAATTTAAATTATAAAATTATAAGTATTATAAATAATATAAGTATTATAAGTATTATAAGTTATCAATATCAATATCATATCAATATTATATTATATCATATTAATAATCTTGACGCAACTAGTAACAGCGATGAAGAAAGTGATGTTGAAAATCTTACTGAAGCAATGTAAGTAATAGTGAAAAGATATATCAATTAAATTGAAACAAATAATGCATTAACAATTTTGAGGTGTAATTTATAAAGAATTTTCTATGAATAGAAGCTAAATTTATCCGAAATTCTATCAATAAATTTTTTGTTGACTCATTTTGTGAAATATAAATATTACATCTTTATGTATTAAGCTTTTGTACACACAGCGGTTATTATCTAATAAACTTATCTACTATATTGCTTTTTATATATACATTTTCTTACTTGTATCAAAGATGACATAATAACTACTATTTACAAAATATGTTTATCAAATTGTAATAACATTTTCTTATTAACATTTTAAATGTATTAAAAATATCAAGATATATATTTTACATTATTTTTTACTCTAGAGAAAAATCTCTTACCACGTACTTTAGAAACTTTGCTACTTCCCAGACCTTCATCTATTAAACATTTTTCGTGTAGAGCTTTATATAATAATTCAGCATCATTTTTATTTCCAAGTATTTCTTTTAGTTTTTCCTATTTATAGAAAAATTATTAATTTTTAATATTTTTATTTACAAATTGTAAGAAAAAAATATATTATAAAGAATTTAAATTTCTTAATTGTTGTTTTTACGTACTTGTGATAGCTTGATAAGATGATCTAATGATTTCCCTTTATTTAATAGAACACGCAAATTTTTCGAATGTGCACCCGGTAATTTACCTATAAAATCTTGGATGTGAGGATTATATTTTTCTATCAATATTTGTGTGTGTGTGTGTGTGTGTGTGTGTGTGTGTGTGTGTGTGTGTGTGTTTGTTTTCTATATCTTCATCTGCTCCGATTTTAGCAGCTACATTTGAATCAGGCTGATCTCGTCCTTGCTACAAACATAACTTTAGTATCTATAATATAATTACTTATATAACATATATAAAATCATTTCTCTCTCTCTATATATATATATATGTATATATATATATATATATATATGTGTGTGTATATTACCTTTAATTCTTCAAACAATTGCGCCGTACCATGTGGACAAGGAGACCATACAATTTTTAGTTTAGGAAAATGAAGAGTTAATAATTGCAGTTTAGCCATTATATCACTACTTTTAAGATCTTTACTAACATAATAATTTCCCTAAAACAATAGATAAATATTATATAACAATATGTATATACATTCTTTATAATTATATGAAGAAAATTGTGTACACACATACATTTTTAAGTTATTTTTATAAAATTAGATACCTGAAAACAGAATGGTTTATTTTGATCAAATTCTATGAGAAGCATAGGTTTAGCATAATGCTTTGTCATAGAAACTGCTTGATTATACAATCTCCCGGGAAGTAAAGAACCAATTAAATCAGATATACTTTTCCTCTCAATACATATTTCTGGTGTTAAAATATAATCACCAACCTGTAACATTATAAACCATGTAGAAACAATATTTTATATCAAAATACACTTTTATATATTTCACTTACCACTAATGTCACTGGTTCAATTTTTATACCGCGCATATACAGAATAGTTGGTAATTCACTTCTAAATTCTCTCATATCGACAATAACTTTTGGAATTATTTTGGCTTCAGATTGCTTCCCTCCTTTACGCGCATTTTCCTGATTAGCATCATCTGATTGAATTGCAAAAGCCAAACAATCGTCTGATTTTCCATGAAAAGGCGAAAAATTTAGTATCTTAGAAAGATTCTGTACTTGAATCCTTCATAACGTGACTAAACAGTAAGATATTGAAATAAAAAGAAATTTTAAAAGACTTTGTAGAGGATGAAAAATACATTTACTTCTTGAAATTGCAAATGAAATTACACTTTCAACATTACGTTAATTTTTTTACAAATAAGACATTTATATCACAAAAGAGTCATTTTTGCGCATTGAACTCCAATTATTTCGAAATCTGACGTGTTAATGAAATTAACTTGCGGTATCGTTTTCAGTACCCAAAAATCTATAAAAAACACCTCATCTGATTAAAAGAAACATTTTTTTTTATATCAATATCATCTTTATTCAGTTTCTTGATGTAGAGTACAATTTATCGACGATTTTATCGATAGTGTCGATAATGTGATACGTAGTTCACATCAATTTCTAAAATTGATGTTGGTGTCGCTAGCGTACGGCGATTTCGCCTGTCACGCGAAAAAGGCCGCCATGTCCTCTCTCAGGTTTCTCTCTGCTTCCACCAATTCCACCATGGTTATCGCTATTGCCCCGCATTGTGTTTAGACCTTTATGTGTTCGAGATTACGTGCATTTACTAAAAATACTGTTTATATATTGAAAAAAAAGGTACATACAATTTAGCACAATTACCTCAAAAATTAATAAAATTAGGCTTATTCAATACGTTTTTGCATGAAATGAAAGAATCTGATAAAAATAAAGGTGAATTTTCACGGGCTGCTCAAACCGGCTGTTTCAGCGACAAAAAGAATCACGTGGTCAAAATTGACGAATATCAAATGTCCATTTTGATCACGTGATCCTTTTTGTCGCTAAAATAGCCGGTTAGAGCAGCTCGTGAAAATTTACCTTATGTCGCTTTGTTCCTCGAACCGAGATATTAAGCGTTAAGCCTTGTGTCCATGATGCTAGAAATCGGTCCGAGATCTCGAATGAAGAAAGAATTGACCAATCGCAATGGTATAGTGTTCAAGTTGTTCAAATGTGATTTGTTAATTTTTTCTCTGTCCGAGATCTCGGACCGATTTTTAGCATCGTGTATATCGGGCTTTAAAGTTGACGACTATTGAGGTTAGAGTAATTATTTTATTTAGAAAGCCCCCCTACCTAAAATCTTAATAAAAATATACTCGTTCGATGCGTTTTCACTCAAAACGAAAGAATCTGACACTTATTTCTACCAAATTCTTTCATGCAAAAACGCATCGAATAAACCTAATTGATCCTAAACCTATGATCTATTGATTTTTGAAGTGATTGTGCTAAACTGTATAATTACCAAAAAATATTAACTTATCAAATTAGAAATCTTATGAGTGAATTAGAAATATAAAAAATACAATAATATTAATGCTAATCGAAGTTATTTTTATTATTAGAGATTAATTGTTATTTAATCATTAATGGAACAAAACACAGTTTAAAACATATAAAAGAAAATAAAAATTGAACTAAAAAACGAATAAATATTATCAGTTAAAATGTCTAAGCGTCCAGAGCTTATGGCACCACCTGAAGTGGTAAGTTGCAAAGTTTATTGAGATTTTACATTGTAAACTCTCTTACATTGACTTTATATATTTTTTAACTTATAATTAATAAAAAGTAATTTAATTTATAATTAATAAAAAGTTAAAAAATTGTATTAGGGCCACTTTCACCAAGCTCAGTTAACTTAACCAGCCTAGTAACTGTGATGAAATAGAAAGAGATAGAACTATTTCATTACAGTTACTAGGCTGGTTAAGTTAACTGAGCTTGGTGAAAGTGGCCGTAATACAATTTTTAGTAATTAAACCATGATGGTGAAAGTAGCCCTTAATAAATGAAAGAAGAAGCTAATTCCATTTTTTCTGTAACAGTATTATGATGAAAAAGAAGCTAATAAATATACTCTAAGGTATGTCATAATTTTTATACAAATTATGTACCTACATCTATTGCATCTTTATAATAAAATCTATGTAATAATATCCTTTTTTTGATGAGTTCTCGTATGATAGAAATCCAAATACACATGTCTGAACGTGCTGTAGAACTTCTTTTGTTACCTGAAGATCAGAGCTGCTTACTTTTGGATATCGGATGTGGATCAGGCCTTAGTGGTAGCGTATTGGAAGATCAGGGACATATATGGATAGGTGTTGATATTTCTTCGGCTATGCTTGGTAAATATTTTAATTTTGATATGATATGGTTGATATAGTTTAACAATATTTTCTATGGCATGTAGTGTTAAATGCATGCATATATGTATATAAAATCATATATTGATATATTATTTTAGATGTAGCTATTGAAAGAAAAATAGATGGTGACTTGATTCTGGGAGATGTAGGTCAAGGATTGCCATTTAAAGCTGGTACATTTGATGGAGCTATTAGTATCTCTGCACTTCAATGGTTATGTTATGCAAGCAAAGCTTTACACAATCCTATGAAACGTTTATATCAATTCTTTTCAACATTGTATGGATGTTTATCAAGGAACGCAAGAGCAGTACTACAATTTTATCCAGAGAACAGTGAACAAGTTGAATTAATCACAGCACAAGCTACAAAAGCTGGCTTTTTTGGTGGTGTGATCGTTGATTTTCCAAATAGCACAAAAGCAAAAAAAATGTTCTTAGTTTTAATGACTGGGGGAGCTGCTCCTCTTCCAAAGGCACTAGGAATAGATAACGAAGATAGACAAACTGTCGCTAATTCTAGAAGGTTTAAATCTCTTGTTATTCATTCTTTATTAACTTGTTATTCAATCTTTATTATCTTGTAATTTGCAATTATTTTTTAATGTTTTTAAAATATTTTAAAACTATATTTTTAACTTTCCAAAAATAATCATTTTTTAACGCATTTTATATTATAGGGAATACATAAAGAAAGCCAGAGGTAAACCACTGAAGAAAAGTAGGGAATGGATTCTAGAAAAGAAAGAAAGACGACGACGGCAAGGAAAAGAAGTTAGAGATAGTTCTAAATATACTGGACGAAAGAGATCTGGTCGATTCTAAGATGTACTTCATTAACAAAGAACATTTTAATAATTTTGAATAATTATAAATAATAAAGTTCATAAAATTTTAATTTTTGTCTATTATCTGTGTAATATTTGAAAATAATACAAACATAATAGCTTCTTTAATAATAAAGAGGCGTTAAAAAAAAATATATATATATACACCAATAAATACATTTACATATAGTCAATTATTAAATTTTATGTATTTCATGTAAATATTCTTGAACAAAAAATATTTTGAACACATCTTTATTATTAAAGAAACTATCATGTTTATTTTCAAATATTAGATTGATAATATAGAGACAATCAAGAATTAATTAAAATGTTATCAGTACTTTATATTATTTACAATAATTCAAAGTTATTAAAGTGTTTTATGGCAATGAAAATGATAAATACACTTATGCGTGTGCGTGCGTATATATATATATATATATATAAAGGCCCCTATTATGAGATACCGAGTTCGTTTTGGGTAAATGCTTGGTCTATAGGCAGAATTTAAAAAAATATTAGGTCATTTTAAAGGGAATTTAATAAGCTTTAAAATAACGTTAAATAAAATTTAATTCAAATTCCATTTTTTTGAAAATTAAAAAAATATAAAAAGTAAGCAAATCGCAAAGTCAAGAAATTGTGCTTCTAATATGAGATGCGATAATAAAACTGAGAAATCAATAGTGAAACGCAAAGTATACCAGTATTGCAATTAAAAATTTTATTTAATGTTTCTAAAATACGAACAAACAGTCAGCGTGCACGAAAAATGAGCATGCGATAGATTATACCCAGAACTCGTTTTCAGATAGTTAAAATCAAGCATCGCAGACACTCGACGTTCATTCCGGTTGTCTTTTTTATTATTGTACAATAACATTTATACTTTAGCAACGATTTTCATTATAACATAAGAGCATGGGTTATTTCATATTAGGAATACCCTGGTTATTTCATATTATGATTTCCACGTCTTATAGTTTTACGATCATCATATCTAACTTCTGTAATTAAACAATTCAACATATCCCGTATTTTTCTATTAGTACGACCTTGCTCTACCATTACATGAAGAATTTATTGCCAAATATTTATTTATTAAATAATAAACAAGGTTTAAATGCTTATCTCTTGAAAACATCCAAAGTCTAAAACCTTGTTTTACAATAACTACAGGCATGATCTAATAATGATTTTTCTACTAAATAGTTTTCAATCCAAGAGCAATAAATTTATAGTGGAACCAATAGTGTTTATTAGTTTATCAGAAACACCGCTATCTCATTATATATATATATATATATATGAGGAGCAGCTTTCAAAATCAGTTTTATCCAAAATTTCATTTTTTTTAGTTAGAGGCATAGTGTTCAATGTTGAGAGTCATATTATAAGCTACTTTGATGTTCAGAAAGCATTTTTTCATCATTAATTTATATGCTGAAAAAACAGACATTTCCAAGTTCATTATGTTTTTTAATTACAAACAAATAAAATGCATTTGTTTAACATTTTTAGCAATTTTGTTTAATATGTCACTTCCTACTGATTGGCATAATGTTATTTTCTGTAAAGTGCATAATTTTGTGTGTGTAGTTTCTTTCTCGTTTTCTGAAAATTACAAATTTTGGACAAAACGCATTTTAAAAATCTGCTCCTCATATGCGTTCTTTTATCTTAATATTAGGAATTCTTAATAATATGAATATTACTAGAAATAGATTACATTAACAGTAAGAGAACAAAGAATAAGTTTAATATTTGATATTATCTTTTAAGTAAATGACATAAATTGTGAAATACTTTTTTGTACTTCATTAGGTAAAACTTTTTCTAATTCTTCGTTATCCAACCACTGATACTGTACATTATTGGTAATATCTCCATCTATATATTTTGCCAAGAAATAAAATATTTTAGCACCGTAACTTCCTTGC